CGAGGCATTTCACTGACTACAATTCCTCTCTACACATACGAATGTTTACTGGTTTTTAAGTATCCATAGTGTTTTAGAAATAAAGTAAATTGCGGGTAACAAGGGTAGATTTCCCTAGTTTTATATCATTCTTTTTGTTATGGGACAACGCGGCTTATACTATTTTTAAGTCAAGTTAAAAGTCAATTGGGTAAGGCCGATATGTAACTAACTATCCTTACCGAAATTCATGTACTCAAATCCTATGTAGTCTTAGTTTAACTCCATACTTGTAACCTATCTACACTTCGAGAGTCAGCGCGTTGATGGGTGGATGCTGGGAAATACTAGATTCTGTAAACATGGATGTGCGGGTGGTTTAATGGATATGTCTCGGACTTGTTAATCGGATTTCTGAGTTTCAGTTAAGTTCGTTATATTCGCTTAAGCGCAAATAATTTCGTGAAAGGAGTGAATCTGTTGTTCTTCTTTCATCTGTCGGCTAATTAGTAAAATATTATTAATAATTCCTTATTATCTCCCCCCCCCCAAAATTCTTAAAACATTTTTATGGCTTTAAATAACCTCCAAAGGTTTGGTAAGCTGTATAATCAATTAATGCACTTCGAGATTCTTTTTCCTACTTTGTTTTTAAGTAGGAGCCGATAAGTTAGTTTTCAACCGGTTCACGCTCCTTCCTCATCTTTTGAACAGGTGTAGATGCTTATCCCTCGTTTTCTTTTTAGGGTGGTATTATCGGTCCCCGCTATTGACGCCTTCATATAGAGTAGCAATCATGACATTTGCCGCTAGGACTGTCTGGAGGCTACAACTCTTCTTGGTGAGGGTATCGGGAGGACATTGTTCTGGTTGCTGCTTCCTGACTGGTAGCAAGGAGCCCGAACTCTACAGTAGCCCTTAAAGCGGCTGCTATCGTCAGCAATCGCAAAATATCAGGGTTCTTGCAGTGATATATCAAGCAAAGCTAGGGGTCAGCGCAAGGTCTACCAGTAGGAAAACATGAGGTCACACTATGATGTGGCCTTTGCCAACTTCCGCCTGGCTTTTTCTTGCCTTAGAAAATAGGCTAGGAATGTTATTCTTGTCCTGTTGCACATTAATGTTTCTCAGTTAATACAAATAAACCAGGAAAAAACGCCTAAGCGCCCTCGGCGTTTCTTTCTTCATAATTCTTAGAAGTTGTTTGTTTTACGGTTTATCAAGCTCAATGGGTTATTTAATGCTGAAAAGATTTTTATTGCTGGTAATATTTTTTCTTCCAAAATGTATTGCCGGTATATTTTTCTGAAAGATGTATTGCTACTCATAATTCTTCCTCAAAAAAAATATTGCTGGTATTAAAACCCATTTTAACCGTTTCATAGTTTTTTTGAGGTTAACTATTTACCCATAGCTGGGACCCTAAAATATGCTATCATCCCGGGTCAGGGTGGACCTGAGAACACCAGTAAATAAGAGGTGATTCCACACTCCATAAAACTTCCTGATGAAAAGCCTTGCTGTTAGACGTAGTTTATCGTCTTACCCAAGGCGTGGACGTAGTTTATCGTCTTACCCAGGTCGCGGATTAATTTATCATCTTAACCAGGGCGTGGACATAGTTTATCGTCTTAGACAGGGTGAGGATGTAGTTTATCGTCTTACCCAGGGCGTGGATATAGTCTATCGTCTTACCCAGGGCGTGGATGTAGTTTATCGTCTTACCCAGGGCGAGGATGTAGTTTATCGTCTTAGCCAGGGCGTGGATATAGTCTATCGTCTTACCCAGGGCGTGGATGTAGTCTATCGTCTTACCCAGGGCGTGGATGTAGTTTATCGTCTTACCCAGGGCGTGGACGTAGCTTATTGACTTACACAGGGAGTGGATGTAGTTTATTGTCTTAGCCAGGGCGTGGACGTAGCTTATCGACTTGCCCAGGGCGTGGATATAGTTTATCGTCTTACCCATGGCGTGGACTTAGTTTATCGTCTTACTCAGAGCGTGGACGTAGCTTATCGACTTACCCAGGGCGTGGATGTAGTTTATCTGATGTAGAATCGTTTCTCTTGAAACGTTCTCCAGACAGCCTTGTTCGATTAAATTTAAATTCTTTAAATATCTCTTAAACTGTGGCATCTCTAGCACGGAATTCTCTGTTCTTAGATATCTTCTTCCATACCGGAAGGATTCTAGTATCCACGAGCATGGCCTCGGTGTCTTTCTTCTTGAAAATCTCACAATGTCAATGGAATTGTCTCTACAATCTCTGGACTGTACTTATGTTTCCTTCTCAACTGTCAGTATTAATCAAGGTTAGTTATCTCTTCTTCCTTTATCGTTCCCCTTCTTCTCAGGATCGTCGTTTGAATACCTAACAGTATGAATTAATCGCTCTCCCCATATTCTTTTACCAATATCTGTGTGTTTGTCGACTTCAATGGTGATTATCTACGTGGCTTCATAATTCTAATGACACTGATCTCGCCGTCATCATGAATTTCTCAATTGCTAAATATCTCACTCATAATTACTGGCAGCTCTGTTTAAGAGTGTGTTAAGCATAAATAAATCTTTAGTCGTTCCCCTCCTAAATCATTATATTTATTTGGCTAGGTTTACGGCATATCAACACCTCAATAGGTTATTTAATGCCGACAAGATTTTTTATTCACGGTAATTTTTTTTTTTAATTTATTGCTGGCAATATTTTTTCTTCAAAAATTTATTGCTATCGAAAATTTTTTGTAAAGTATTTCTGGTATTAAAGCCTATTTTTAGATAAAATAAATATCTGTTGCAATAGCACAGCAATCTTGATATATTTGGAAATGATTCTTCAAAAAATTATTGCTGTCGATAATTTTTCTACAAAGTATTTCTGGTATTAAAGCCTATTTTTCACTTTCATAGTGTTTTGATCCAATTTTGGGGGTAAAATATTTGCCCTTAGCTGGGGCCCTAACAGGTGTTACCACCTCCGGACCAGGGTGGACCTGGGAACACCAGCAATTAAGAGATGGTTCCACGTTCCTCAAAACCTCCTGATCAGAAGCGTTGCTGCTGGTTGTCGTTTGAGTCTTACCCAGGACGGAGTATATTCAGCTACTACTGACAAAGGAGAATTCTTAGTTCGTAAATTCTCTTTCACCTCCACTCTCGACACATCAGGTGTATCTTTCTTTAATTACCTGCTGTTATTGGTGAATTAGATCCCCACAAGTTATGTGCACATGACAGTATTCCTGCAAATGTGTTTCCGAACTCTCTGCCGCTTTATCAAAACTGGTTTGACATGATGGACTTCTTCACAAGCTGAAGTGCAATGGTGTGCGTAGCAGAGTAATTGAATTAATCCAATTGTTCTTAAACAATCGGTTAATGAAAGTTGCGTTGAATGGTCCCACGTCTAGAGCGTACCACATTAAAAAGCAGAGGTACTCTAGGGATCTATCATTGGGCCTACTTTGATTCTCATCTTCATCAACAAGTTTAACGATGTCATCAGTTCCCAATTCAATATTTATAATAACACAGCTTTTATAGGTTCGTAAAAGTAAAACAGTCGGCGGCCCTCAAAAATGGCCGCCAATAGAGTTATTAAATGTGGCCAGAAATAGCTTGTAAATTTTAACACTTCCGAAACGAAGCTGTTATCTTTTAATGAACAGAGAGAAATATTTTTGCCTTCAGTCAACATGGCTGATGCCAACTTTCAGTAGAGTAACTCATTGCTTCTTGTTTTCATGTTTTCTACAGACATGAAGTGAGTTATTACATTGCATAAATGGTTAGATCTGCCGCTGGAAATGTTGGTTCACTGTGTAGTGTCAGATATCTTTTCTCGACAGAAGCCATCTTGCAAATTTATAAATCTGCCATTCGTCTGTTCATTGAATATTGCTGCAATATATGGTCTGCTGCACCGGCAAAATATCGTGTTTATAATATTATCGATCCTAGTCTCGCATCTCTACGTCATTTGCTTGTCTTCTGCCGTAACTCTATTTTCTGAAAAGATTTCCATTGTTCCCATGAACTCATCTTGGTACCTCGACCATATGACCTTTAGTGCAGTACTAGAGTGACGAGAGGTCACATAGTTTTACAGTTGAAGTTAAGTTCTATTCTAATAGTTATTTTTTCTCTCATTTCTCGCCTGAAGAAATCTTTCCGAATTTTTACATTCCTACGATCTTCAAAAATTTAAATGTGACGTCAATCGCCATATTTTTTTTCTTACTGTGCCTATTTCCTTTCCTGCTTATTTATTGTCTTCTCTTTCACTCCCAGGAACCCCTTGCGTCTTAATGGCATTATCGTCTTGCTTAGTGTGATTAAAAAAGAAAAGAGAAAACAAGATTAGTCAGAAAGAAAGAAAGAAGAAATGCGTGAAAGAAAGAAAAAAAGAGGAAAAGGAAAGAATGACGGAGAGAATTAAAAGAAGGAAAATGAATGAGTGGTTTGAAAGAAAGAAAGAAAGAAAGAAAGAAAGAAAGAAAGAAAGAAAGAAAGAAAGAAAGAAAAAGAGAAAGAAAGAAAGTAAAAAGAAAAGAAAGAAAGACAGAATTAAAAGAAGGAAAATGTTTGAACAAAAAGATGGAAAGAATAAATGAAGGAAAGAATTAAAAAATAAAAATAAATGAGGGGAAAGAAAAAAAAAAAGAAAGAAAGAAAAAAGAAAGAAAGATAGTTAAAATGAAAGAATGAAAAAAATTAAAAGAAGGAAAATGAATGAACGGAAAGAAAGAAAGAATGGAAGAACGAATGAAGGAAATAATTACAAAGAATAAAAATGAATGACGGGGAAGAAAGAAAGAAAGAAAGAAAGAAAGAAAGAAAGAAAGAAAGAAAGAAAAAAGGAAGAATGAATGAATGAAAAGAGGTCAAAAAGGAAGAATGAAAAGATGGTTGCGAAGAGAGGATGAACATGATAAGAAAGAAAGAAAGAAAGAAAGAAAGAAAGAAAAAAGAAAGAAAAAGAGAAAGAAAGAAAGTAAAAAGAAAAGAAAGAAAGACAGAATTAAAAGAAGGAAAATGTATGAACAGAAAGAAGGAAAGAATGAATTAAGGAAAGAATTAAAAAAATAAAAATAAATGAGGGGAAAGAAAGAAAGAAAGAAAGAAAGAAAGAAAGAAAGAAAGAAAGAAAGAAAGTTAAAATGAAAGAATGAAAGAAAAAATTAAAAGAAGATAAATGAATGAACGAAAAGTAGGAAAGAAAGAAAGAAAGAATGGAAGAAGGAATGAAGGAAAGAATTAAATGACTAAAAATGAATGGCGGAAAAGAAAGAATGAAATGAATAATGAAAGAATGAACAAAAGAAAGAAAATGAATGAAGGGAAGAAAGAAAGTATGAAAGAAAGGCCGAAAGAAAGAAAGAACGATAGAAAGAAAAATGAAAACAGAATGAAGGGGGAGAAGGCTAGCAGTTGTGTAAGAAAGAAACAAAGAAACAAAGAGCATGAAATAAAGGAATAAAAAAAAAGGAATGAATAAAAAATGCGTGAAATAAAAAAAAATGAATTTAGTGAAAGAATACTTGAAATGAACAATGAAATACAGAATCTAGTGAAAGACAAAAATTAGTTGCATTTTGCTCATAATAGGTCATGAGGTCAAGGAAGCCAGGAAAAGTGCATTGTTTACTGAAAAATGCGGCTATGCATTTACATGCATAAAATATTTGGTCAAAAATATGCGGGAAACTTCAGCATCAAATCTAATATGGAGCTGGTTTCAACTCGGCATTCCACTGGAAGTTACGTGTGCGAAACCAAAAATGGCTTCCAGAATGAAACGATTGAGAATCGAAAAGCGAACGAAAAAAAAAAAACAACAGCAAAAAACAAAAAACAAAGTGTTGAATTGAGCAAGAAGGAAAAGATGAAAGAGTAAAAGATAATCCGAAGAGAGAAATGCTATTCATTTGGATGACGTAAAATAACAATAAAAGAAAAAGAAATGATAGAAATCGCGAAATATGTATGGACGAAAGGAGCGGTTACATTAAAAGGAGAAACAAATGTTAGAGTGAAAATCAAACTATAGTATACGGGGGGAAAAGGCAACAAACAAATGTTACAAAGACGAAGCACCATAATTTTCCAGATCTCAGGTTGAGATTTTCCTCTTTTATAACTGTAGGAAAAAACAGACAATACAGGTTAGAACAACAAGTTGTATATTATCAATTTATAAATGTATTTCTTTTCAGATTGATTTTGTATTTTGCAGTTAATTGTATTTAAAAAAAAGTAAAAAAAAAGTAAAAATACAAGACACAATCAATTCCAATTAAGGCGAAATATAATTTGCTTATTTCTACTCTCTTTCACTTTGTCCATAAAGCTCTCAGTGACACCAAATCGATTGGGTTTCGATCCGGGCTTGAGGCATTCGGTTGTCTAGTCGCACTGAGGAGCTGTAAAACAGTACTGTCTGCGAATGACATAATTTAGCTCTTGAAAATATATTTTCACTTCTACTGTTGAATGACACGCTAATTCTAAAAACAACGGTCAACTGCGTAAAATGCGAAGCTCTTCAGTAAAATGAATGGAGCACTATGGCTGCTTGGCGTTTGTTTAACTTTGTAAAAACAATACGCTAGATTTGGCTGATTCGTTCTGCTGACTCAAGACGGCTCACTGGTAGAAGCCTTGACTGACATCAAATAGGGTTGGGTTTTGATTCGGGATTGAGGCATTCGGTTGTCTAAGCACACTGAGGAGCTGTGATACAGCGATACGGTACTGTCTGCGAATGAATGATATATATATATATATATATATATATATATATATATATATATATATATATATTTAAAATATGATTCCATCTGTACATAAGAGTTCTCATGTTTCAAAACAAGAGCCAATTACTTTTTACACACACACACACACACACACACACACACACACACACACACACACACACACACACACACACACACATATATATATATATATATATATATATATATATATATATATATATATATATATATATTATACGAAAAATAAGGTAAAACAGCTGGAGACCATAAGAATATTTAAGTAAAGCTTGAAGTAATTCACAAAAATAAGGTGTTAAATAATTCATAGCAACAACATGTTTAGTAGTTCATCAGAACAAAGAGATAAGTAGTTCATGTGTCAGGGATGCATTTGATTTGACTTTACTGACAGTTCTCAAATGTGAAATATACAAGGATTAAATTTGTCTGTGCGCGTGCTCGTGTATGAAAACATTTGTTTGTGTATGTGTGTGTGGAAACCGTTTTAGAGTTTCCTATTTTGTTGGAATGCGGAGGATAATGTAACATCAGAATAAAAGGATCCTTATGAAAAAATAAACAAGAAATTTACATAAATTTATATGTGTATATAAATATGTTATGGTTCAGTAAGTAGCCAGATGTATAAGAATTTTTATTGGAACCAGGGTGTATGCTTTTACGAACAGCGGTATATCACCTAAATAAAAAAGTTAATACTAATAGTAATGATCATAATAATGCATTACATTAGTAAAATGAACAAAGATATATATATATATATATATATATATATATATATATATTAATTTAAAGAAAAACAGACCACTTTAAGCCTCCATTGTAATAGTTTATTTCACCAGAGACCTTTTAAAGTACTCTGGATTTTCAGACTTCACTTTCAAAAGCTAAAATGAAATTAAAATTTACAGTTTTGACGGGTAGTATTAAGTTTATGTAATTTAACAGAGACTGAGGGGGTAAGTATCAGACATTGACCTATTTAATCGATCAACTCAACAGAAATGATATGTTGAAAAGGAAGGAGAGAAAAGAGAAAGAAAGAGAAAAAAGGGGGAAGTAAAGAGAAAGGAGATGTATTTAGGGTTTACGGAGGACAAAGAGGGGTAGTATAGTTTTAGCAATTTAGGTAAAAAACAGATTTTACGTTAAAAGGTCTCTGGTGAAATAAACTATTACAATGGAGCCTTAAAGTGGTGTGTTTTTCTTTAAATTATTAGCTCAGAATTTACATTGATCTCTCAGGAATTCATCCTCCTTGGGACTACCCATACAAATTACCAAGTTTTTCATTACTTAACTATATATAAATATATATATATATATATATATATATATATATATATATATATATATATATATATATTGGACGACAAACGGTCCTTTAAAAAAAATGCGTTCCGTTATTTTCAAAGAAATATTCAAATTTTGTTCTGGAATTATATATATATATATATATATATATATATATATATAAATATGTATATGTGTGTGTGTGTGTGTCATCCACAGACAAACTGTTTCGCTGTTTTACAGCTCATCAGTGTGTCTAGACATCCGATTACCTCAAGCCATGATTGAAACCCAACCGATTTGGCATCATTAGGAGATTTTTCCCCTGAACTATCAGCTCCGGGCAGAGAGGTGAATTTCTACGTATTTGTTTTAGAAGAAACACACCAGTGACTCAGAGTACTCATTTCACCGAAGAGCTTTTGCATCAGCAGTATCAGTCACTGTTTTCAAATTCGTGCTTTTCTCTCTAAAGTGCTCAACCGTTTTTTTTGGGGGGGGGGCATAATGTAGTAACAAGGAAAAGCGTGGCACACTAACATTGCATTTATTATATAGAAGATGTAGATGAGATACTCAGGACTGTGTCCCTTTAAATGAAAAAGTGTAACACACTAGCATTGCATTTATTATATAGAAGATGCAGATGATATACTAAGGATTGTGCCCCTTTAAATGAAAAAGTGTAACAGACTAACATTGCATTTATTATATAGAAGATGTAGATGAGAAACTGAGGTTGTGTCCCATTAAATGAAAATGTATGACATGCTGACGTTGGTGTTTATTATATAGAATAAGGTGAGCTATTGAGAGTTGTGTCCCTTTAAATGAAAAAATGTAACACACTGACATTGGCGTTTATTATATAGATATATTTACATATTATATTTAATACACTAATATCAAAATCTGCTTCTCAGAGTTTCGTATAATGATAATCATGAAGCGGATATGATATCGTTAGATATCAAATCGTTCGACACGTGATGTCTTTTAATTTTCTATTTTTTTTTTTTTCATAACCGCCATCTTTATAAAATGGTACATGATAAAGATTTCACATATTTTAATGTTTTAATATTTTCGTGAATAGTTATAAGTTTATAAATAACATAGGTTTACATCATAATTTTTTTTTTATTTAAATATAAATTTATTCTTGTAGATCAACATAATTTTAATATTAAGAAAAAATATTCTATTAAGAAATAAGTACTTGCGATTAAAGCTTTTTTTTTTTTACAATAAACAGAACTTGTTCATATAACTCTGTGATTCCACACAAGCATTCCTCTACAAATCAAGATCAGTTATGTCAAACACATTACTGTTACTCTACTGCAAAAATTGTGCCCGGGGGATCAACAACCTTAAGTCAAGAGAAAGAACAGAAGGAAAAATAAATATTTACCATTTTACAGAATCCCGCCAAAAAAAAACACACGTTTAACTCTCTTTTTTATATGCCGTGTCCTTTCTGGACGTAGGCGATCATGACTCTCCACCTCCTCCTATCCTTTCTAGTTCTCAATATGTTTTGTGCTTTTGCTACTTCTCACAGAAGCTCTTCGGCCATCCACCTGATAGGTATGTCATACGTTATTTTCCCTTGTATCTCTTTGCTTTTATCCGGTCTCCTGAGTATCAGATTCTCCAAGCCCTCCTTTCTCATTACGTGTCCCAGAAATTTCAGTTGCCTCGTTCTGATATTAAATGTAAGCATCCTCCTTGTTTGAATCCTCTTCAAAGCCTCATCGTTGCTTTCATGTTCAGTCCATGGTATCCTTAGCATCCTTCTGTAGAACCACATCTCAGTTGCCTTGAGTTTCTGCTTCATCTTTGAGGAGACCGTATAACATTCGCTGCCGTAAAGGAGGAAAGACATCACTTAGCAGCACAGTACTATTTTCTTTGTTACCAAAGAAATCCTCCTGTCTTGTAATACTTCCGCCTAGCTTTTGGAATGCGTCTTTGGCCATTCCAATACGTCTACGGATCTCAGTGTCGCATTTACCAGCCTTTGTCAAAACCCTTCCGCGTCTGCTTGATTCTAGTGTCCCCGACCTGCAAATCGCATTTCGGGCTTATCCTTTAACTGATGACCATGCATTCTGTATTCTTGTAGTTTATGCTTAGTCCCTTCTTCACACTCTCCTTCTCTACCTACATTT